TGTGTGTGCGTGTGTGTGTGTGTGCGTGTGTGTGTGTGTGTGTGTCTGTCAAAAGGTTACGCAATCAGCGCCGCACACTGGGACAGCACAGACCTCCAGTGTGCTGCAGAATTGGATGAACTGGGAGCGAGAGGGGCTGCACTGGGGTCCGGGCATTTGCTTCCAATATTTGGTGCCATTGGGGGAAAAACTCATTTCACGCTGCCCGCCGCCTGATGCATGTTGCATAAGTCAAACTTGAACCTTTCCTTTTGTGCAACGTCATGACAGGTAAGTGTCGAGGATGACAGAAGACTTGATGGGAAGTGTGTCTTTTGGATTTTTTTTTTTTTTTTTTTTTTTTATGAAGACTTCATTATAGAATTACGAATAGAAGAAATTGCTGTATATTTTGGGAGTTAGCAAACCAGGTCAGGTGCTTCTCTTGTAATTTCACTACACTGAAAAAAGTTTTTGTTGAATTGGCTCCATTTGATTTTGGTCATGAATCATCTGGACCCAAGATGATTTTATTTGGGGCAACCACTTGACAAAACAAAATTGAGTAAATACAAGACAGCAATTGTTTTTCAGCTTAGGTCAGCCCTTTTTTTTTTTTTTAACCTCATCCCTCCTTTACCGCCAGGGCACAATTGAAATCAAGTTGATATCATTAAGACACTTTGTGACATAATTTTTATGTCTGTGACTTTATTTTGCACTGCTACTCTCACTCCTGCACTGATCTCGGCTAATATTCTATTCAACATTTATCACTTGATTGGGATTATTGGATTTGTTATGGAGCAATAAAATTGCTAATTTGAATGTGTTGCAAATAACGTATTAGTCAGCAACAAAGAAATGAGTAAATATTGACTATGCCGGTGACATACAGATGACCCTATATGCTCAAATGTGACGTAAAAGGTTAAGCATTAGCTTACCGTTTATCTCAGGGTGGGCCATGGTCGCTTTATGAGTCAAGTGACATGAAAAGTCCACGTTTTTGGAGTCACTTTGTATCTCTGAAGTAGACGTAGAAAGTTTCACGAAAAGTGTTTTCTTTATTTTGCTTGTTTTTTTTTAAATTGGGGCTTGGGCTCCTGGTGTGTGTGGAATGTTCCCCATGCACTTGGACCCAAGTTTTTTTTTTTTGTTTTTTTGACAGGAGGGCAGGCAACTTGGTCAGTTGAGAGGAAAATTGACCCCCTAGAAAGGTGCAGATTCTTTTTTATTCAGGCCTGGGCCCTTCTTGTTTGTGGAATGTTCCCTGCACACCTTGAGCTTTTTTTTTTTTTCTTTTTTTATAGAAATGTTCTTGAAACAGCCACAGACCTGAGAAAAAGAACCAAATTGACCGGAAATGCTGCTCAGTACAATAAGCGCAACATGTTTAATAAAATATCACAATGCATATTAATTTTTTGGGCCTTTTGTGGCCCGCCCTTCGACGTTCAAATCCATTATATTCAGTGTAACACGTGTCATTTCATTTTGTCCCTCCATAACCCCCTGAAGGCGACACGACTCAGCAGATGAAGATGGAGGCGGCCAACGGAGACGGCACAGCCCTGAACATTGCACTCAGTCCAGAGGAGGAGATGACAGAAAGGGGAGAATGGGCCAGCAAAATGGAGTTTATTCTATCCGTGGCCGGAGAAATTATCGGCCTTGGGAACGTGTGGCGTTTCCCCTATCTTTGTTACAAGAACGGCGGAGGTGAGGACGTGGTCTCCCTCCTGCTTGCTTTTTTTTTTTTTTTTTTTTTTTTTTTGATGTCTTACTCTATTAAAAGAGACATATGATGCATTTGAAACAAAAAGGCATGAACAAAAGTAGCTTTTCAATCACGTGTCCATTTTCAATGTTGGTCTGCCCCACACCAGGTGCTTTCTTCATCCCGTATCTCATTTTCCTGTTTACTTGCGGCATCCCCGTTTTCTTCCTGGAGACGGCGCTGGGACAATACACCAGCGAAGGCGGCATCACCTCCTGGAGGAAGATTTGCCCTTTGTTTGAAGGTAACCACCCTTTTTTCCGCATTCAGAATACCAACATTAGGAATCAGGTAGATTGGTTCCCGATTAAATGATTCACAGGAGGTGAGGACGTGGTCTCCTTCCTGGTTGCTTCTTCTTTTTTTTTTTTTTTTTTTGATGTCTTACGCTATTAAGAGACATATGATGCATTTGAAACAAAAAGGCATGAACAAAAGCAGCTTTTCAATC